GCCATGCCCTGCATGCCAGAGGGATCTTACGAGAAGCAAGGGTGTTAAGAACCACCTCGACACTGAGCCCGGCAAATGCCGCTTTGCCGAGCCGTTCAAACTCCCAGATGATCAGGATCCCGAGGGCCGCATTGTGCCAGCTTGGTGGAAACCCTCACCCAAGCCCGGTGAGGGCCAAGCTTCGGCATCGGGTGGCCGTTAGGGTGCTCATGCCAGGCCACCGCGACCACGCGCTTTTGGGAACGCTGATCCTACATCTGGCGCTAGCAGTTATGACATACTGCGAGATGCGCCCGAGCGCGGAAACGCGCCTTCCGCGTCTCCGGGCGAATCACCACAGGTAGCGGCCCGCCGTGGTCGCTTACAAGGCATACCTCCACCACCAGATGCATTTGATGAAGGAGACCGACTGCGGAGAGCTACGAGGAACCCTCTTGCCTCAACCGGCTCGGGGGCTCCACGACTGCCCGACTGGGCGAGATTTGTCATCCAACACAGTCTGCAAAACCTCCGTAGTCATGAACCTCATGTAGTCAAAAAGGAACTCCGCAAACTGCACTTACGGTGGTATCATGCGAAGGAACCCAAGATGAGGCTGGTCCGAGAGAAAGTGGGATTGGATAGTGTTCGACTAAATATGATCAAAGAAATCTGCGACACCTGTCGGGAATGTAGAGCATGGGGGCGCCCAGGTAACTCTACGCTACCTTCCGTGAGCCTTCTTGGAAATTGGCTTGGTGAAGGCGAAGTAAGTCTCATGTTTTACAAGAAACGGACCATATTCCACATTATGGACCGATGTATTTGCCTGGCAGCAGGCCCAGCAATTCCCGATAGAGAACGTGACACCATACTCGACGCCTACCATTATTGCTGGATCGCCTATCATGGACCCTTCAAAGTCTTGTATTCCGATGGAGAAGGTGCCCTCAATCATGAAACTGCCAAGGCCATGATGGCGAATAAGGGCACGGCACTTCGTATCCGAGCGCCTGGCTAGCACGCGACCTCGATCGAATCACGCAATGGCATTCTTAGGGGCACTCTCCACATGATTGAGGAAGAGCTGAACAGACACAACATCCCCATTGTATTTACTAGAGTACTGGCCGAAAGCATCTTCGTCACTAGCGCTGTCACGTTTTACAACGGAGTATCGCCGTGCCAAGCACACACTGGGCGACAACCCTCTTTCCTTCCTGACCTCGACACCCTTGACTTCCCCAAGGGGCCCGAGACGTCAGGCCACGAACGCGAACGCCGCGTGAGGGAAGTCAGCCTGGAAGCAATAACTCAAGCCACGGCGGTAGCGAAGACGAGCCGTGCCCTCAGGGCTAAAACGGCCCCAGATGGTGCTCGCCTATATTCAGCTGGGGACTTGGTCGATTATCACTGACCTACGGCCACTAAGGACGACCGTGGAGGCTGGAATGGCCCGTTCCCTGTATTCGCAACGTGCCTGAACGAGGACACGTAGTCGTCAAGACAGGATCGCGTGAGGTAATTGTAATGTATCCTGATGCTCGCCACACGCTATACATTGAATGCCTTTCACCAGGGAACTTGGCATGGACAACATGGTCATGCAAACCATCCTTACATATGTGGCACACCTTGGTGCAGGGAAACCTGCCAAAGTCTTTGGCTATATTCCAGACTACAAGGGAAACCTCAATCTTTCCGACGACAGTAAGTTTCACCCGCGCGTACACCTTGCACTATAGTGTCTCGTGCGAAACTATTTCCGGGTTGAGCGCGTAGTAGCCGTGAGATTGGCCAAGAGCGTGCTCAATCTACTTGCAGTGAAGTACGCCACCGGGTCTACACTGATCCACGACGACAACGATGTTAACCCAGCCTTCCACTATTATGAGTGCGTAGGCACCGGCTTGAACATCTCTCAAATCACTGGTAGCACTCACTCCAGACTCATCCAGTGCCTGACGTCACAAGTTCCTTCCCTAGGATTCCATGACGACCTTGCCAACACTTGGACACGCCGTCTGGAGGACCCGACCAGCCTGGAGACAGGCCTCGTCCAGACACCCCAGGTGCTTCATCACCAAGTGAAGGTCGCCTGTTTACAATCTACGAGGAAAGCGAGGAACACGACATCGAGGCTATGATGATGGAGGAGTGGTACGATGAGTTGCGTATGGACCTTCATCCCACAACGGTTATCGACGACTATCTCTACTCCGTCCCAACAACCATGCTGCCCGACAAATGTGTCTTGGTCTCAGCATCTGCGGACGAGGAAGAGACCGTTGTGTCGGAGATGCTCGGAGACGAGCCTGAACAACAAGAGCCCTGCTTTGTCTCTTTATGCTCGACTACACCTGACGAGGGCTATTCTCTTGACAGTGAAGAACATGGTCCCTATGTCGAGCTATGTTTCACGCCAGAAATGTCAAATATCGTGCTGGATCAGACCTAATTCGCACAGCTCGAACCAAACATGGTCGCAACGATGAGAGTATACGTATCATCGGCTGCTAAACGTGCTGCGGTAGTCAAGGAAGACGACCTACTTACCAAAGCCGACATAGCAGCACATCCTAAATAGGTTAGTGAAGCCTTGTACACCGAACTCAAGTTTTGGCTTGACAACCGATGCTTTGAGATGTATGACCTATCAAAAACTTCCAACATCATGACATCCAGATATTTTTACAAGTGGAAGTTTGTGAAAGCAGGCACCGAGAATGATAAAACTATCCGTCTTAGACTTGTCCTCCGCGGATTCATGGACACGGAGGCTTTCGATGTAGAAACCTTCTCGGGAATTGCCCGCCGACAGTCCCAGAGGCTTCTGGCAAGTGCGGCGGCATGTCATCCAGAATGGATCTTAGCATCTATGGACATCGACAAAGCGTTCCTCAAAGGACTGACATATGAGGAACTTGCTCATGCCACCGGCGAGGAGACTCGCATGGTTTGCTTCGCCCTTCCACCAGGAAGTGCCCAGGTGCTTGGCACCCTACCAGGCTTCTCTTCTTATGCTGAAAGCCGACGCTGCTTCAGGTGCCTCAAGCCAGGAACGGGTACAAAGGACGCCCCAAGAGCGTTCTCCCTCAAGCTTCGTGCGACTACTCGAGCTATAGGCCTTGCGCCGACAAGCTACGATCCGGAATTTGAATTCAGTCAGGATCTGTTAACAGCAAAACATGTCGACGACATCAATATGACAGGCTTAGAGAAAAACGTAGGCGACGATGTACAACGTGTCGAAAAGGTGCTTGGTACATGTAAGCTCAACAAACATTATTACACCAATTGTGCAGTTCGCTACACGAAGAATGAGCAAGGGGATGTGATCGTGGACCAGGACGAGTATATTAAACAACTACGTCCTATCACACATCCTGAGCTTACGGGAGCAGCGGCGGTTGCCAAGGCTACCAAACTCACCACCGACATGTTCGCTAGCCTGCGAGGAGCTCTCGCCTATGCCCTCCTTACTCAAGTCTGGCTCATGGTGCATGTGGTATCTCTCCAGAAGATCCAAGAGCCCACCAACTTACACGTCAGACGACTGAATGCTGTGACGCGAAAGCTGATCAGCAGCCCGAAACGCATCACCTTCCCTCGGATGAAACCGACGAATGAAGTAGACATACATAGTGGCTCGGGGTATCGGAAACTCACCGGGGAGGAGGGCGATGAAACCAAGGGCTACGGCATTCGTGGGGCTAACGTATTACGGCGAGGAAACTCGCCCCAAGGTAAATCCGTCGTTCACCTTTGCGACGGACTATGCAAGCCACACCGACTGCAGGTGAGGTCCAGCTATGCCGCTGAGACACTTGCTGCTGCACATAATCTTGATAAATGCGACCCCACGCTCATCACTCTCCACGAGCTCAAGGCTGGAGCCCTTGCTCCACGACAACTTCGAGATATGCGTGAAGTTGGAGGCCTAGCTATCAAAGTATCCCTTACTATAGACGCTGAGTCTGTATACAAATCGTTATCCAGCAAAGACCTCAATATACCGACGGAACGTACATTGCTGGAACATATCAGCTGGGTACGTGAGCTCATGGATCTAGATGCAGTGCATAACGCACAGTGGTGTGACACTAGAGACATGACCGCAGACGGGCATACGAAGGGGAGTATCGATCGGGAGCTGCTTTTGGAAGTGATGTCAGGCACTCAGTCATTTAAGTATGACGTGAAGCAGTTTGTTCCCTTTCGGGGCCCCGAGGACAAAACCAAACCTAAGTCCAAACAACTTTAGTCTGTCCTTGTTGCCCCTGCGGTCCAGTTTGCCGGCACGGGCGCCTAATACGGAGGCGCCCTCTTTCCTGCTCGGAAGCGAGCCGTGCTTTTCACGCTTGGCAACGAGCCTGATCAGGTTGGTTCAGGCTCTTTGCCTTAATGCCCTTTTGCCCGGACGGGAATAGCCTGTTTGGCTTACCTCCAGCTGGGCCGATAGCCCTTGTATATCCGAAGGGGCTATCCTGTGCGTGCGTGGAAAAGTTTTGCGAGGAAGCTCGCCGGCGAATAATCTCGCCCTTCAGTCTGGTGGTTGACCAGACTGCGCGTGCAGTTTTCCTTGCGAACAGAGTTGCGCGCCTGTCGAGAGCCTAGCGACCGCGCGGCTTTACTCTCCGTCTCCTCCCCTCCCGACTTTAAGGGTAGCTCTTTGGGAGATGTTATAGATCATCGGGAGTATAGCCTGCGCGTCGCTGCCTTATGGCTCAAGGCACGCGCGCCCGATTTGCCCGGATACCTGACTTGGTATTCGCTATGTGCTGGAAAGATCACTACATTGATCTTATCCTGTCCTACTCATCCACACCCCATATCGTATTCCTTCGACATGGAATTGGATGCAATATGACCTACCAGAGTCATTTCAGACTGACTACACCCTGCGCGACCCAACCTGGGCCTCCGTCGGAGGCGCCCCCCGCGCCGCCGCAGCCGCGCGAGGCCCCGACGGCGCGGCGGCCCCAGCAGCCCCCCCGCCCCCGGCTTCAGCCGCCGCGCAGGCAGCGGTGATCGAGGGCGGGCCAGCGGGCACCTCCCGCATCGGCGCCGGCGGCTTCCCCGCGCCGCCCAGCCTCGAGTGCAAAATTGCGAGGCCCAGCCGCTTGGTGGAGGCGCTTGAGGAAGAAGGAGATGAGGAGGGGGTGGCAAGGCACCGCCCGCGCCTCCACGAGCTCCAGCGAATGGCCCGCGCGGCTGCGGCAGCGCCGGCACCAGCGGGGGCCGAGCCGCCAGAGGAGGCTGCGCCCACCAGGATCTCCGACGAGGACGAGGCCGAGGTCCCGACCCAGGAGGGCGATGCAGACCCCCTCGCGCTTGGGTTCTTCTACGCGAGCCAGGGGGCCCAGGGCGCGCCCCTCCCTGGGCCGGTCGGCGGAGCGTCGCCCAGGCAGCAGACCCACCGCCGGGAGCGCGCCCCACTCCCCCAGCCCCTGCCTCGGCTGCGCGCGGACGGCCCCGGGGCAGCGGCAGGCCCGGGCCCCGGCGCGGCCGCAGCCGCCGCAGCCGCGCTCCAGATGGTCGCCGTTGAGCCCCCCGCCCTGAACGCGGCCGCGGCGGCTGCGGACCCGCCAGGCAAACAGGTCGCGCAATCGGGGCAGCTGGCGGGGGCCCGCGCGCGGTGGGCGCGCCTGTGGGCCGAGCGGCGGGCGCAGCCCCGACTGGCATACCTCTAGACCACGCTCCTCCCGGGGTGGCAGCCCGCGGCCCCCCCGACCGCCGCGGAGCTGGCGTTTGCGGCGCGGTCAGCGCAGGACACAGTCGAGGAGCAGCTGTGGCAGTGGTTCGAAGCCTTGGCCGTCGCAGGGGTCTCTGTTGACACATGCGTGGCGGGCCCGTCCAGGCCAGAGGTTGCAAACGGAAGCGCCAACCTCGCGCCGAAGTGCACGGCGACGGCCCCGTGCGTGAAAGTGCGGAACCTCGGCCTGGCGCTCAATTGGATGAGAACCACGGATGGGAGGGTCCGTGTCTGGGGGAAACGCCCACGCCCCATCATCTTGGAAATGCTCCGCAAGTCCCACTTGGAATGCGAGCCCGGCAACGCCGCCCACGGCCGGATCACGCGCCGCCAGCTCGACCCAGCGCGAGCGGCCCAGCGCCTCCAGCGCAGGGTGGCGCAGCGGGCCCCGGGCGAAGGGCAAAGGGGCGGGGCCGGGCCGGGGCGACCCGGGGTGGGGGCGGGGGCCGGCCCAGGAAGGGGGCGCAGCAGGCCCGGAGCGAGGGGGCGGGGCCCGGCCAGGGCGACCCGGGGGGGGGCGGGGGCCGGCCCAGGAAGTACAAGACGGGGCCAGGGCGGCCGGGGGCCGAGGCCAGGGCCGGGCAAGGAAGGGCAGAGCGGGGCCAGGCGGGCCAGGGGCAAGCCGTTTCCCAAAGTGACCACACCACCAGCGTTAGGTCGCTTTTGAAGTCGGCCCCGAAGGCAGGGCGGTGCCCAGGGGCGGGGGCCCGGGCCAAGGGCTGCGAGGCGGCCCAGGGGGGGCCGCGGCCTGCCCGGGTCATGCGCATCCTAAGCGGCGCTCAGGGCACCCCTGCCAGGCGGCCCGCCGGCGGGGGCGAAGCGGCCCCACGGAGGCCGCGTCGGGCCAGGGGCAACGGGGCCGGGCATGGGCGGGGGGTCTGGGAAATCTGCGCCTGTCAGCTCCCGCTTGGCTTAATTACTGCTGCGCCTCCTGCAGCGCAGCCTCGAGGCGGCGCGCCTCCCGCGGCGACAGGCCAGCGGCTGGGGCGAGCGGGCGCCCGCGGGCTGCAGGGGGGCGCGGCCGCGGCTGGGCCTGCCGTCTGAGGACCTGCGCCGCCCGCCCGCAGAAGCAGAGCAGGTGGGCTGCCGTCTCCTGCGACTGGCCGCAGACGCGGCATGGCCCGGCGCCCCCCGCCGCGTCGCACGCGAACGAGCCCTGCAGGCGCAGGCGGGCCCAAGCGTGCACCTCGGGGAGCGAGGCGCCAGCCGCGCTGTGTTCGAGCGCCACGTGGCCCGCGCCCGCCCCGCGCGCGAGTGCTTCCTGCTGCGCCAGGCTCGCCAGCCAGGGCTATTCCTGGCGCTGTGCCGCCTGCCTGGCGAGGTCGCGGCGCAGGGCGCGCCCCCTGCCCCCGCTTGCGGCCCCGGCGGGTTCGGCAGGGCCCAGCGGTGCAAGAGTTGGCGGACCCGCGCTGCGTCCAGGAGCCCTCTGCCTGCTCTGCGATGCCCAGGACGCGCTTGGCCTCGGCATATGGGGGGTCGCCCTGGGCCCAGCTGTACAGTCGAATGGCGCGCTCCTCCATGATCGTGGCCCAGCGGGCAGTCCATCCCATGTGGCGCAGGAGGAGGGTCCGCGGGATCGGCCCGCGCACTCGAGCCCTCCTGGCCCAGCGCTCCTGGAGCCGGTTCAGGGTCGCTTGGAAGCCCTCCACGCGGATGCAAAGCTCAGCCCCGTGCGCCGCCTTCGGGGGCGTGCTCGCGGTGAGGCCCAGGCTGAGCTCGTGGGGCGCGAAGCCGAGCTGGTCCATCGTCTGGGTGCGCCGCCGGCCCACTGCGAGCGCGCGCTGCTCGGTGGCCTGGAGGTGCGCCTGCCCAGGCGGCCCGGCGGACCTGTGGACTCCGAGGCGCTAACACTCGCCCACGAACCCGACTCCATGGACGGGCCTGGCGTCTGCGAAGCTCCGGGCCAGGATGGCCGTCTTAAGACGGGCCGTACCGAGGTGCCCATCGGTGGCGGCGTGACACCGTCTGCAGGGCGCGGACGAGAAGTCCGCACTGCGCCCGCGACCTGGCCCTGGCGCGGACGTCGTCCACGACCGCGCGCGGCCCAATCCTCGTCTCGGAGGACGCGTCGAGCAGGCCCTGCCGGACGGCGTCGGAGGGCGCCGCCGCCATGCAATCGTTCCAGTCCGCGTGGCCGTCCGTGAGGAGGGTCGCCCACTGGCTGACTTCGTCGACGCCCAGCGCCTCGAGCGTCAGAGCCGCCCCGATGGGCCCTGCAAGCCGCCGCCGCGGCCGGCGGAGGGCCCAGCCCAAGGCCCGCGCCCAGCGTGGCCGCAATCTCATCGACCTTGGCCGCGTTGGCGAGGCTGTATTGGGCAGGGCTGAGCTTCCTGCCCTCCGGCATGCCGACCCGCGGCTTGAACGGCCGCGTGCAGCACTGGCCGCGCCCGGTGACCGAGATGGCGGTGCCCCGGAGCATGGCCTCGGCCATGAGCCACTGCCGTCTGCCCACGCCCGCTCGGTCGTGCATTGCGACCATCGCCTCCGTGCGATCCTGGCTGTCGAACGCTTCCGCTTCGTCAGCGAAGTCCGCGATCGGCCGGCCCTGGCGCGCGCAGATGGCCCATGCCTCGAGGTCGAGGGGGCTGGAGACCAGGCAGTCTCCTCCTGCCTCTTGGACGTCACCAAGGCCGCGCTCCATCGCTGCTAGGCTGCGCCCGGCCCAGAGCTCCGCAAGGAACCGGCCCTCTGCCGAGCATGATGCCAGTACCCTGTAGCCGCTTTACGCATCGCGGATGTATCGAGAGGGTCTTGCAGCTTTTGGTGAGGGGCTAACAACAATATTTCACCGACATGGTCAGATTAGCTATGGATTAGGGCTGTTTTCTGCGACGTTGATCCAACCACGGTTGTGAAGCATCGGCACCAGCTCTTTTCGCTTGACGACGACAGTTGCTGCTTGCTGCTGGCTGATACTCCCTTTGGGCTTTCTCTGGGCTGCGGTTGAAGCTGCTATCTTCCGCGCCACTACCCCGACGGTCCAGAAGGACTGCGACGCGAAGCCAGCGGGCACCACCAAGACTGGGGCCCCCATGCTGGCGACTTAGGAGTATGAGTAGGAGGGGGGACGAGTTCTAGGTGAGTATCATCGTCTTCCACAGCGTTCGGCGTCTCGCTCGGGAGGACGACTCCGCGTCCAGCCCTGTCCTACAGTGTAGAGTGCAAGGCGCTGCTCAGTGGATTTGGTAGGGCCAAGAAGTGTAGTATGAAGTGCCAGCCCGCTGTCATAAGCTTGAACAGCTCTTGCAGAAGGTGGCCTGACAAATCGAAAGGGCAAGGGGCCGATCTGTGGTCTGTGGGTGTCGCTGGCGGTTCCGGGGTCGAATCGCCCCCTGCGAAATTTGTTTTTTATTTTATGTTTGCCCTGCTTTCGTTTTTCCGAAGCGTTTCTTTTGGTTTGCCTACCTCGCTTTGCGAAGCTGAGTTGGCTGCGTGGTGGCGCGCTCGATTTGCGAACCTCGCTGCCTTTGGTTCGTGACCACGTGGCACGGGAGGGGGGGCATCCTCCGCGCCCCCCCGTTGCTGCTGGCGCCTGGGGGGAAAGGGGGGGTGGCAACAAGGGGGAATCAAAAACTTTTTTTTTTGTTTTTTGTTTTTTGTTTTTTGTTCTTTTCTGTTTTTGTTGCTCCCCCCCAGGCGCCAGCAGCAGCGGGGAGGGAAGGGAGGCGGCCCGTCCTCCCGCGCTCCCCCCCACCCCTCTCCTCGCGCCCCCCTTCCCTCCTCCCCCTCTGTGCCTTGGGAAAAAGCGGAGGACAATACCAGTTTTTGTTTTAATGCCATTCCCACCCAGTAGTAGTATTGCATAAACGAAGTGGCAGCGTTGTAACAATCCTGTAGCTGAAGTAGTAGTACTTCTCAGGTCGTGCAATAAAAATCATACGCTGCAGTGTTTGCTGTAGTAGTCGCACTGCAGTGTTGTAGTAGAGGTACTCCACTAGTGTAATATTGGAAGACAATAGTATTGCCGCCGATATGTGCACTAGCGGTATTGCTGTAGGAATAATACTGCATTATTGTGGATCAGTGCTGCTATTGTAGTAGTGGCAGTGTAGAACAAGACTCCAGTACAGTACTCGCTAGAATAATAATCTAATGTTGCCTGCAGCGAATGTACTACATTACTGTAGTATGAGTACTCCAATGCCGCACCCCGTGCTGTTGTACTCGTCTTGTACTGTAGTGCTGTAGCGGTGGCGCCGTAATAGTCGTAGCACAGTACTGTAGCAGTCGTGCTCCAGTGGTGCTGCTCCAGGACTGTACTATTGGTATTTTAAAACCGTGCCCAGCCATACTAGGATTGTATCAGTGAAGTGGCAACGCAGTAGTCATCTAAGTAATCGTAGTAGTAGTAGTAGTAGTAGTAGTAGTAGTAGTAGTAGTAGTAGTAGTAGTAGTAGTAGTAGTAGTAGTAGTAGTAGTAGTAGTGTAGTAGTAGTAGTAGTAGTAGTAGTAGTAGTAGTAGTAGTAGTAGTAGTAGTAGTAGTAGTAGTAGTAGTAGTAGTAGTAGTAGTAGTAGTAGTAGTAGTAGTAGTAGTAGTAGTAGTAGTAGTAGTAGTAGTAGTAGTAGTACGTAGTAGTAGTAGTAGTAGTAGTAGTAGTAGTAGTAGTAGTAGTAGTAGTAGCTAGTAGTAGTAGTAGTAGTAGTAGTAGTAGTAGTAGTAGTAGTAGTAGTAGTAGTAGTAGTAGTAGTAGTAGTAGTAGTAGTAGTAGTAGTAGTAGTAGTTAGTCGTAGTCGTAGTCGTAGTCGTAGTCGTAGTCGTAGTCGTAGTCGTAGTCGTAGTCGTAGTCGTAGTCGTAGTCGTAGTAGTAGTAGTAGTAGTAGCAGCAGTAGTAGTAGTAGCAGCAGTGGTAGTAGTAGTAGCAGTAGCAGTAGTCGTAGCAGCAGTAGTAGTAGTAGTAGTAGTAGTAGTACTAGTAGCAGTAGCAGTAGTAGTAGTAGTAGTAGTAGTAGTAGTAGTAGTAGTAGTAGTAGTAGTAGTAGTAGTAACTCTGGTTTGGCAGTAACGATCATACCGTAACATTGGGTTTAGCCGCCGCTCTGTAGTACCGTAGAAGACATAACCCACGGCTGTCGTACCCAGCTATATATTTCATACCATCGAACTGGAGTGCGTCAGTAGTAGTGCTGTAGGAATAGTTTCGTACTGCTGTGGGACAGTGGTGTACTAGTGTAGTAGGGGCACTGTAGAAGCAGTGCTCTGGTACATGATTCGTAAGAGTAGTATTAAACGGTTTCTTGCAATAGTGTAATAGGATTGCTCCACAGCCGCAGCATGGCAAAACACTTGTTGAGGTATTGTCATAGTGTAGTGCTGTAGTGGTGACGTTGTAACAGTGGTAGCGTACGCTGTAGTAGTCCACGGCAGCAGTAATATGGCATAAGTGATTATTCAGCACTGTACTGGTATTGCTCTAGTACTGGCACTAGTCGTAAGGCAGCTTAAACATTGGAGTACTCAAGCATGACCGCCGTGCCCTAGCAGCGTAGTGCCGTAGTAGTATTGTAGTAATAACATTCTACTGAAGTCGTAGTAGTGCTCTGGTGCAGTAGTAGTGGTAACAGCGTAGGGGTGGCGGTGGGAACAACACGCTCTTGTAACTCTGTAATAGTGTAGTAGCACTCTGATATGATCGAGCTGTTGTATTAGAAGTTGCGTTGTAGGAGTAGGCGTGCCCTAATATTGTAGTAGTAGAGTTGTTGTAGTAATGCGATAGTAGTAGTACCCTAGTATTGTAATGGCAATTGAAGGCATGAGGCTCAGGCTAGGCTCTGGCTGAGGTTAGGCTCAGGCCGAGGCTCAGGATGAGGCTAGTGCTTATCATAGGCTGAGGCTGAGGCTTGGGCTGAAGGTAGGCTGAGGCTTAGGCTAGGCTTGGGATTGGCTTAAGCGGAGGCTACCGCCGAAGCTCAGGCTGAGGTTTGGACGAGGCTCAGGCTAGGCTTAGGCTGAGGTGTAGGCCAGGCTGAGGCTGAGGCTTAGGCTGAGGTCTGGGTCAGGCTCAGGCGATGCTTAGGTTAGACTGAAGCCTAGGCTTGCCTGGCTTAGGCTGAAGCTTCGGCCAGGCGGGGGCTGGAGTTTAGGCTTAAGCTTGGGTTTGGGCCAGGCTTGGGCAACGCTTAGGCTAAAGCTTAGGTTGGGCCGAGGCCGATCTTTAGGTTCAGGCCAGGCGTAGGCCTGGCTGAAGAAGCAGAGCCTGTTCTAGACAGAGGGTGAATCTGAGGCGTAGGCTAGACTTCGGCTAAACGTCGGCTGGAGCTTCAGCTGGGCTAGGCTGAGGCTCAGGCTCTGCCTAGGCTGAAGTTTAGGCGGACGGCGGCGGAAAGAGAGAGAGAGAGAGAGGAGTGGGAGGCAGCGCCGAAGAAAAGCATAGCGGGTATACCACGCCGATACCAACAGCAAACAAACGATGCGTTCCGTCTCCCACAAAACAAAATTCTTTAACACGCAGGGGGGCGATTCGATCCTTGAACCGTCGCTGGCACGCTGGAAGACGAGAAAGCTGACGAGTGGCTGTGCGTTGGGTGTGCCCTATTGTTATTTGATGCGTCTTCAAGTTTTCGGGCCCCCTTCTCGGGGCTCACGCCTGTCCACAGGAGCCTGGATCAGGTGTCGGTGCCCTTGCTCGGAGCTTTGAATGTGAGCCGTGTGTCAGACTCCATTTTTCTTTTGTGCCGGTTCCTGCTCACCAGCTCTACTTCTCGTGCTTGATGGCCTTCGTGTCGCTCTAGGTATCGGTCTTGCGAGCTCCACTTTCACGCCCACCGCCTGCCCGTCGCTGCTTCCTTGTCCCAGCTTCCGCAGGCGCCAGCTCTCCCTGCCCCTTCTCGTCCTGCACCCGTGCGACGTCATCGTCTCCTGGCTGCTCGTCAGGAGGTTAACTCTCAAAAGGTGCCCCCGCGAGCAGAGGAAGCTGACACGGATGAGCGTTGGAGCAGGAGGCCCCTGGAGTGGCACCCGTGGCACCGCGCACACGCCGAGCGACGCGCTGGGCGGCAGCGACGAAGCTGGCAAGGCACCTGAGTGCACCAGTGAGCGGTGCGCGCGGCCTGGCGCCACGTCGGGGCGGACTCGTCTGCCCAGTGGGCCCTCTAATCGTCCTGCTGCCCACGCTGGCCTCCCGCCGCCGCCGCGGCCCCGCCGCGGCCCCGCCGCGCGATGGCTCGGCCAGTTTTGCGCTGTGGGGTACAGGCTGGCCTGCAGGGGCCAGCCGCCGCCCAGCCCACTGCTGCCCCGCTGCGTCAGGGGTCGGCCAGGCCTGCTCTGTCGCGACCTGCGCTCAACGCAGCTGCAGGTTCGGCAGCTCTCGGAGTCAGTTTCCCGACCTATGGTTGCCCGTGTGGATGAATTCCCTTGCCGCGTGCGATCAAAAAGTTTGTGTGCGTGTGTGTGTGTGAGAGAGAGCTTCACGCCGCGATGAGAGAATCACAGCGGGGCTGTTATGCTTTTAGTTTCGCGTGTACGCCGTGGGGTTTGCATTCCGCCCCGTAAACTCGCAGTGTCGCGCATCAAGGTGCACGTGCAGAAGAGACGCCAGCCAGCTGCGGCGAGGAGGATTGCCGTGGCCACTGAGCCAGCGAGAAGCCACGTCTTTGCTTTTTTTGTTTACCTGCGGAAGCGAGCGAGAGGCAGCGGAACGGCGTCACCGTTAAACGTACCCTTAGCGTTTCTTGCGCTCGTCACCCGTCAGTTCTGTCCTGGACTCGTCAAGTGTGGGAAGGATGCGTGTGACAAGCAGGGTAAGAGCACCTTCGCCATCTTTTTCTTCAGCGCATTCGAGATCGTAATGGCCCGTACACCGAAGGCGATGTTTAAGAAAACCTAAGTTTTCGGCCAGAGTCTCGATTATTCTTAACGTTTCAATGTAAATCCCAAGATTTAAATATAAATTCTGGGTTTTTATTCAAATTCTGAGACTATGAAATTCTTAACCCATGATTTCTTAAGCATTTCGCAGGGTGTACAGTCGATCCGCATAGTAAGGATGGGCAACCTTCCCAAGGGTACCCTTGCATCCTTGCCTCCTCGGTGCATCCTTCGCCACTTTCGTCGGCCGCGTCCCGCTCGAAAAGCTTCGAGATGGGCGTCCAAGGCCCTTGCATCCTTATCCCGCCTCCTTACTCTGCGGGTTGACTGCAAGAGCACCTTCGCCATCTCTTTCCCCAGCGCATTCGAGATCGTAACGGCCCGCGTCCCTCCTTCGTCCGGGACTCTCAGCCGAGCGGTGGGCTACGTCATCGGGTCGTCGACGCTCCGCGGGCGATCGAGCCCCAGGCAGCCATCCGCCCCGCGATCCGCGTGGCGGCGCACTGGGCGTTCGTGACGTCGACCCTTAGATTTAAGTCGGGCCTGTCCCTCTACAGGGGGAAATCCAAAAATAGTACAAAAATCGTAAAACAATAGTTTGATCATTTTTAACGAATTTTTGGTTATGTTTAATTGTTCGTTCAAGATCGGCCTGTAGGGGGACAGGCCCGACTTAACCTTACATGTGTTTCGTGATCTTGAAATGTTGCTATAAGAATTCCTGGGGGCACTTCCGTCGCCCATCTGAGACATTCGTCGGTATCCCAGTTGCTCTTTGAGTTCCCCGGGTGGTTGGAGGCATAAGACAATTCAGTGGGGCCTCCGCTGGCAGGCAATTTTATTTTAAGCGCGTACTGCTATTGTGCAGACGGTTCCCCTCCAGCCGCTGTGGATCCGCGTGGTGCCGTTGACGTACATGTGCTCCGCCTTCCGAGGTCGCGGGGCTCGCTCGTCATGCCGCCGAGGCCCAGCCGGTCGTCGGATTCCCGTCCTCGTCGCCGTGGCTCAGCAGGGTGCCGACGGCGTCCGTGGTGTCCCCTTTCGCTGCAGCTGCTGCTCACGGTTATTATGTTTGCTTCTCTTCTTCGGATTCTCGTCATTTACTCCGTTTTCCTCCTGGTATTGTTGTCCCTCCTCCTGCATCCTCCTGCTGCTGCTGAGCCTCCTCCTCCACTCCCGTTCGTCTTCCCGCTCTTGCTGCTGCTTTTCCTCCGCATGCTGCTGTTGATGTTGTCGCTACTGTTGCTGCGTTTGCTAATCCTCCTCCTTCTCCTCATTGTCCTCCTCCTCCTCCTCCTCCTCCTCTGGCGGCAATGTAGGACGTGGGTGCCACTGGCAGAGCCACCAGCGTTCCATTGATATCGATGAAGAGTGGTCACAACGATCACACTTACCTCATGTGACATTTTCGATGCCGAGCAGTCGCAACGATTCTCGTGTGCAGCACGTGCCCCAGGTCAATGTTCTGATTGTGCGCATGCGTTCCACGTTGGAGCGAAGAGCGCGCATGACCAGAGTGTCACGCATGCCCGCGCGCACGCACTCCCTTGGGAATGTCTGCCTTGTTTTCGATTTCTCTGGGAGCCTCTGGGGCCCTCCGAGGGTTCACCGAGGCAAAGTCAGGGGGCCGCTGACGCTTCTGGAGGTGTCCGTTGGGGCCCCCCTTCGTGCTCAAGCCCAGATGGATCGAAAGTGCGCTTGGATCTGGTTCGCCTCCGTTCTCTCCTCGCTGGGTGCGTTCCTCTTCGGGCTCGACATCGGCTACATTGCCCCGATCCTGGAGTGCGCCTCCTTCAAGCGGGATGTGGCGCATCTCAGGGACTGGGGCGACCCCGGATCTGCCATCTCCAGCAGCGAGGCGGGGTTCGCGGTTTCCGTTTCTTCCGCCTCCTCTTCCTCCTCCTCCTCCCGTGTCCCTGTATCCCCCCTTCTGTCCCGTGCCACTGCCACTGGCCCTCCGCCGCCTCCGCCTCCCTCTGCCCCTCTCGCAGGTCAGGTGGACGTGTTGCACTCCCTCCCACGGGTTCGGATGTGGGACTGCGATTCAAAACTCCGACCGTGGTGGGCAGCCTCGCGTCTTGGAATAACTCCTCATACGAATTGACCACGGGCGTGACAGGAGCAGGATTTGTCAGCAGCGCAACGCAGTGCTATCTCAAGAATCCTGCGCTCTTTCCGCCTGCAATATTATACATACGATGTGTGTGTCGATATACATGTGAGCATCTGCATTTTGTTGCCGCTGTCTTCGGAACGCATTGGCAGGACATCATGGCCAGCACGGGTGAAACATATCCCCGACGTTTGGCGCAATCAATTGCGTCCTTCAGCTGATAACCGCGGCCAATCTCTGGTAGTCACCCAAAAGGCGAGCGACAGAGAGGGAGAGAGAGAGAGAGGAAACAAACAACAAGAACCTGGCGAAAGACCAAACCACTTGCAGTTGTGAAAATCGTCTTCGTGAGTAACGCGTTCGGTGGAGGTCCTTCTGGGGCCACGAAATGCTGTGCTGGGCGGGGGAGACGCATGTGAGTGCAGCCACCGGGGCTTTCGGTGGAGCTCCCCATGGGGCCACCAAGTGATGCCCTGGGCGGGGGAGACGCATGCGAGTGCAGCCACTGGGGCCTTCGGTGGAGCTCCCTCTGGGGCCGCGAAACGCTGTGCTGGGTGGGGGAAACGCATGCGAACACCGCCACTGGGGCCTTAGGTGGAGCTCCTTATGGGGCCGCGAAGCGCTGTGCCGGGTGTGCGAGACGCATGCGCACACCGCCATTTGGGGCCTTCGGCGGGGCCACAGACGGGGCCACGACACGCTGTGCTGGGTGTGGGATACGCATGCGAACACTGCCATTGGGGCCTTAAGTGAGGTTGCCTTTGGGGCCACAAAGCGGACTGGGTGGGGGAGACGCATGCGAACACCGCCACTGGGGCCTTAGGGGGAGCTCCCTCTGGGGCCATGATGATGAAGATGATGATGATGATGATGATGATGATGATGATGATGATGAAGATGAAGATGAAGATGATGATGATGATGATGATGATGATGATGATGATGATGATGATGATGATGATGATGATGATGATGATGATGATGATGATGATGATGATGATGATGATGATGATGATGATGATGATGATGATGATGATGATGATGATGATGATGATGATGCTGATGATGACGATGATGATGATGATGATGATGATGATGATGATGATGATGATGATGATGCATGATGATGATGATGATCATGATGATGATGATGCTGATGATGACAGTGGCGACGAGGAGGGCAGAGACAAGGAGGGGGAGGAGGGAGGAAGGGGCAGGAGGAAGGAAGGAAGGAAGGAAGGAAGGAAGGAAAGAAGGAAGGAAGGAAGGAAAGAAGGAACACGGGGCGCTGTCTCTTCAGAACGAGGACCCAACACCACAGGATGGTTGGGAAATAACCCCCATTCGGGAGCCCTCGCCTCAGGGGCGGGGGTTGCCGCGGGCCCAAGAGATCTCCCAGAGTCGCCCGGGGGCGTCAGGGCGTTTGGGCCCCCGGGCCCGGGGACAGCCCAGAGAGTTATTATCAGGGCCCGGACCCGATCAAGAGAGAGGGCATCGGGAGCCTCGAGACGGGATTCAATGCAAACGGGGGTCAGCCAGGGCACCGGATCCTGCAGGATCCTGCGAAGACCCCCTCCGGTTGACCTGGGTCAGCGAGCCGCTCGTGGCCGCAAGGCGGCCGCGCACATTGGCTGACCCGGGTTTGCGAAAACCTGCGTTGCAGTTTTTTCCGGGTCGGAATAACGGACTTATTGCTTGGCGCAAACCGCCCGCGCTGGTAACGACCCCGCGGCTGGCCGCGGGGGCGCCCTCGCTCGGCTGGTCGGCCGCGCGCTGGCCGTCCCGCTTCCGCCTCCTGCTCGCGTCGTGTGGTGCGGTGCCGTGCCGTGCTTCCTCCGCCTGGTACTGGGGCGGGATATGAATACCGTGCCGTGTGTCGGGTTTCGGCCCTCTGCCCGCTGGGGCTTCGTTCGGCCCATAGTGGCTTCGTTCGGCCCATAGTGGCGTCGTTGCGGCCCATATCGGCCGGCTGCGTTCACTTGCCCAATGGGGCCCTGTCGTCAGGTCCATAGTGACCGCGTGCTGTCGTTGGGCTGACCATAGTGGTTCAGGGGAGCTTGCTGCGTTGTGCCCCTTGTGGCCCATAGTGGCCATCAGCTGACGTGCAGCTCTCCTCTCGTCCCCATGGCGCGCCGGCATGCAGGCGCGCGGGCTTCAGCTGGCGTGCAGCTCTCGCCGTCGCGCGGGTTTCTTGCGTGCTCCCTGTGGCGCTGAGCTTGCGTTGGCGACGCTTGCCTTCTTGCAAACTGACCCTGTTGTGGGCGCGAAGTGGAGTGAGATCCAGTCCGAGGGCGCCTTTGATTGCCCGGCAGCCAATGGGCTGATGACGCCAGAAGATCTGGCCAACATTCAATTCGAGGATTTGAAGGGTATCGACGGCGCGCCAGCGCTGATGAAGGGCGTTCTCAGGCGCGCTCTGGATCGCGCGACGGTGGCGGGCGCCAAGGCGAGTTCGCAAGGGGCCGCGGGACCCGCGCGGGCTTCGGCGCGTTGTTTCGCTTCGGTTGCTGCAGAATCCTGGCCCCGCGCCGAAGGGCGAACATGTCGACATCGGTGCGGGCCTGGCCCAGATCACCCTGAGGGACCTTCCTTAGTCCCTGTGGACGAGGCTGCTGCGCGGCTTCGCTCCGGCGCGCCGGCGCGTCTCAGCCGTTCGCTCAGGTCGGCAAAGACCGATGCGCCGGCCACCGAGGTGCAGCGCGCTAAAGCCAGGGGCATCGCGCGCCCGCTCGTGTATACAGAGCTCGCGAAGTTTCAGCCGCTATGCGCGCGTGGCGCGGGCGGCTCTCCCGACGATGACGAGCCCGAGTCAGAAGAGGCAGCCGCGTTGGCCAGAGCGCTCGGGCGGGGAACCGCGGCGGAGAGTCAGCCGCTTCTGGCGTGGGCGCCACGGCGCTAAGCTGTCGACGCGTGGAGCGCGGCGGCGGCGGTCGCAGATCAGATCTCGTGCGCGAGCGCCATGGCCCACAAACACGTTGTTCTTCGGGCGAGTCGACGTGGGCTCCCGCCCGCCGGTCGCCGGCGAGAGTGCGCTAGCCCAGGTTGCACTGGGTGCCCCTTTGCAGGGGCCGAAGGCCCAGGTTGCCTTGGTCTACGACCGCCTCGCGCGGAGGGCGCGGGCCGAGCGCGCCGCCGCCGGCGTGGCAGGCTTCCAGGCCGCAGTTTCGCGCCATGCTTCAGCGCGATATTATCGGGCGCGCGTCGGCGCGCAGGTGAACGTAGCTGCGCTGTCGCTCGACAGCGGGCTGCTCCGCGCGGCGGAAACGGAGTGCGATCGGGCCCTTCAGGCCGCGTCGCCGAATCCTCTTCTCTCGCGTTGCGCCGCCGCTGTCGCGCAGGTTGCTGCGCCGGTCGGCAAGGGGGCAGGAAAAAGCGCCGCGGCGGCGCGGGGGCAGAGTGCGAGCGCCGCAAGCGCCGCGGGCATCGCGCGGGGCGCCGCCGTCACCTCCTGGAAGAATGACCGCGAGCCGAGAGCCGACGGGTGGCATTCCCGTGGTTCCTACCGCGGGGAGCACAACAAGCGCTCCTGGGATTCGCGGGCGGCGCATTCACCTCAGAAGAAACCGCGCGCCCGACGCCCGCCAGAGGCGCGCGGAGCCCGCGGCGCGCGGCGACGTGCGGGACGCGCGCCAATGAGGATGTGCATCTCGCGCCACGTCGGCATTTGAATAACGGCGAATGGGCGCCAACCATGGCCGCCGCCCCGCGGGGCCCGCAGGCGCGCGCGCGCTGGCAGGAGGGCGCCGCGATGGTGCCGCGTCGGCCAGGGCTTGGGCGCCAGTCAACACTCGCGGTCCGGTTGCGACGCGAGGGCCGCCCGCCAGCTGGGCCAGGAGGCGCGCGAACGCCCCCTGGCAGGCTCGCGCGCTCGCGCTCGCAAAGCGCAGGAAGCGACGGGGCTCAGTGTCGCTGCCACATGGGGTTATCAGGCGGCGCGCGTTGTGGCGCGCGACGCTCGCGGGCTAGCGCGCCCGGCAGAATGCTACCTCGAGTGCGCGCGGTTGCGCGCCGGCCAATGCCGGCTGCTGTCGCCTGCCGTCGCCTTCGTCTGCTGAGGAAACGCCTAAACTAGCCTTTCTTGAAGAGGTCCTCTCTCGTTCTCACGCCCTCGAGGACAAAGAGGCCTTTGAACAGGCCGTGGTGGTGCCCGGCGACGTTTCGGCGGCGATCGATTGGATTGCTGCGCGCTCGGAGCGGCAAGTGCGCCGTGAGCGGCGAACGCCCCTCGAGCGAATTCGGACCAGGGGCGCCGAGCTGCGCGCCTCTGGAGCGACGGCGGCCTGGTTTGCGGGCTGCGATGCCAATGCGCGTGCAATCGCAGGGTCGATCAACGGCCCCCTTCTCGTCGAATTGCTCGACGAAATCGGCTACGAGGACGTGGCCTGCGTGGAAGTTTTTCTGCGCGGCGCGCTCCTCGTGGGCCCGCTCCCGCGCGCGGGGAACGGGCGGCCAGAATCTTTCCCTGAACCGCTCAGCCTGCCGGAGTTGACCGCGGGGGCGGCGCGAGGCAGCGCCGCGCTGCTCGGCGCGCTCAAGGAGTCCAGCGACTCCGCCGAGATTCTCACCAAAACTGTCGCTGAAGCGGAGCTCGGCCGAATGTGCCACCCCGCGCCGATCAGCGGTGTCGAGCTCGACGGGGCTGTTTTGACGCCGCGGTTCGGCGTCCGGCAAACGAGAGAGGGCGGCCCCGAGAAGCTACGGCTCGTCGACGATATGTCGCGCTCTCGCATCAACGCGGCGTTTCAGCCGACGGAGCGTCTCGGCCATGAGGCCATTGACGCTCGAGCACTTGCAAAGCCTCTGCGACGCGCGTGGGCGAAGCGCCTGGGCTCTGGGAGGCGGACATTGACGCCGCGTTCCGGTGCGCGCCGCTGATGCCAGAGCATCGCGCCTTCGCGTGCGTCGCCTTCCTCGCGGGCACCTGCGTCTACGTGGCCCAGCACTTCGCCGCCCCATTCGGCGCGACTTCCTCCGTTCACAGTTGGGGGCGCATCGGCGCGATGCTGACAGCGCTGGGCCGCAGGCTCCTTTTCGTTCCCGTCCTTCGATATGTGGACGATTTCTTTTGCTCTGAACGGAAGAAAGGGATGCGCGACGCAGTGCGACAGTTCGCTGAACCGGTAAGAATCATTCTCGGTCCGAGCGCCGTGGCCGACGGTAAGCTGGCGTTCGGCAATCCGATCGGAGTCTTAGGTTTGTCCGTGGCGATTGACGAGCGAGGCCTCGCGCGTTGGCCGCTGCCGGATAAGCGCCCAGTGGTGCGCCGAGATCGCCGCTGCCCTTCAAGAGGGCGCGCTTGAGCACGGGCGCGCGTCCAAGTTGGCAGGCCGCTTCTGTTGGGCCGCCTCTAACACCTTCGGGCGGTTGGGGCGCGCGCTGCCCCCGCCGTTGCTTGAGCGCGCGAGGGCGCGCCATCCGAGCATCCGGACGCGCCTGCGAGTCTGTCTGCAATGGTGGCACGAAGCGCTCGCCAGCAATTTCACCACATCTCGTGAGTGGCAGGCGCCAGACACCAGGTCTGCACAACTGCTCTCCGACGCGCGGGGCCTGCAGCCAGGGTGGCCGCGGTTCTTTTCATTGACGGGCGTATTGTTTTCGCCGACGTCGCCCCCCTGAGCTTCTGCTTCGGCTCTTTAAGGAAAGGCGCGACAATCAAATCGGCGGTCTGGAGGTGCTCAGCATCGCGCTGGGCCCGGCCACCTTCGACCCGCTCCTGTCGGGCCATTGCGTGAATATCTTTTCGGATAATTCAGGCAGCTAGTGGGCCATCCGGTCCGATGCGGCGAAGCAGTTTGACCACGCTTGCCTGGTCCATTCAATCTGGCGCATTGCGCTGGGTGCGAATTGCAATCTACACGTTCATCGTCTGGCGTCGGCGGACAATATCGCCGACCTGCCTCGCGCGAGTCGTACTCCCTGCTGTGTCGCATGGGGGCGGAGTGGATTCCTCCGGTGCTGGACGATGCGTGGCTCGACCCGAGTGCGCGGCTTCCTCGTCGCCGGCCATGGCCGGCTCGGGCGCCGGGCGCGTGTGCATTGTATCTGGCCTTCCCTCATCGGTCAGGGTACGCCCGCCAGGCCGGGCAGGTGTTGGCGTCCTCCCTCGCGCACGTCGCGGTCGCGCTTCGCCCTGCGTGCGCGCGCGAACATCTCCGTGCTGTCGGCGCACCTTGAGAATTTCTTCAGTGTTCGCGTGATGGCGCTGGCTGGATTGATCGCTCAGCTTCGCGTGGTTTGCCTTGAGGCACGCCCTATTCCCGCGTTCGCTGCTGCCGCGCTGCTTGCCGACAACGGCGCCGACGCCGTGAGCGATTCGGTTGACGTCGCCATGGCAGACTTCAGGGGCGCCGCGGCATTATCTAGCGACGCCCGTGAGGTGGTCCGCACGGCTACCGCGGCAGCCCAGCGCGGCGGCGCGCCAGCTGCACTGGGCAGGGGCGGCATGGGCGCCCCTCCTGCGCCCGCTCCCTCGCCCGGGATTGCCCCTAGGTCTTCTCGCGCTTTCCGCGTTCGCCCGCGGGTGCTCCGCGTCGGCCGGAGCAGGACCGGCATCGTGAGGCGGACGCCCTCGAGCGAGTCAGTCTCGCCATCCTCCACGGTGCGCGCGCGAAGTCGCGGCATTTCGATCGCGGCGCTAAGCGAGGGCGCCAGGACAGCGGCAGGGCACGTGCAGCTCCCCCAGCGGACCCTGCGTCCGCTGTCCGGTGGGCGCCCCCAATCGCCGGGCGCGAGGGTCGCCGAGACGCGCGCGGGCCGCGGGCCGAAGCTGCCGGGGCAGGAGCCCTCATCGCATCCCCAGCGGCCGGAAAAGCGTGGGCGTGCAGGGCCCAGGTTAGCGCTCTCCTGGGCGCATGCCCGCGCTCGTTGCCCGCGCTCAGCAGCGGGTTCGAGTGCTGGATAGCATTCGCAAGGGGCGTCTTAAAGCGGCGTGGGAAAAAACTGCCGCCCACCCTCGAGGGGCTGCTTCTGTGGCCCACGACCTTCAGGTGCGCCGGCACCTTCAGCAACCGCGTGACTACCGTGAAGAAGGCGTGCCTCGTAGCGAGCAGGCGCGCGCCCACCTCTCATCCTCCGGCAGCGCGCGCGTCCGCCCGCAGTGGCAGTCGGCGCGCAAGGCCCGTGGGCGTCTTCAGGCACCCGGCGGTTCGCGCCGCTAAGAACGCCATCGAGAAGCGTTCGGGCTGGCAAGCGAAGGCGCGCATGGCCCTTCAGGGCCGCGACGTCGCCCGCCTGGTGGCGCACCTGCGCGTCAGTGACGAGGGTCGCCGTTTCGCCATGTTGTGCCTGGCGGCTTACGCGTTCCTCCTTCGGCTACTTTCGGAGGCACTGCCCGCGGTGCGGGTTGAAAATGGCGCGGCCGCAGCTTGCGTGGCTTCCGCGTTCGTCGTCGGCAATCAAGTGATCGAGCTGCACCTCTCCAGAAGACAGAACCGCGAGAGCCGCTCGGCGTTGGCGCGGCAGTGCTGGTGCGATGAGTGCGCGGCCACCTGTCCCGTGCACGTTCTTGGGGCCTGGCTAATTGGCGAGCCAGCTCACCAGCCCATCTGGGCTGCGCGGCCCCCAGGCGCGGCGCGTGCTCGGCTGCGCCGCGCGCTGGGCGAAATGGGGCGCCATGGCGCGGAGTCATTCGGCACTCGCGCGTTCAGGCGCGGGCACGCGCAGGACATTGCTGCCAGGGGCGGACGGGTCACCGACGACCTTCGCGCGGGCGGCTGGCGTCAGCCCGCGTGGATGAAATACCTCAGCGTTTCCCGGCTCGAGCGACAATCGGTCGTCGAAGCCCACTTGGCAGAGTCGTCCAGCGACGGTGGCGATGGCTGAGCACCCCGCGCAGTTTGGTAGTCGTGTCTGCACGGCACACACGTGGGCGCACCCCGGCACGCGGGGGCAGTGGGTGGCAGCGCCGGGCGTGGCCCGCGGGAGCGCCGTTGCAGTGGGTGGTGCCCACCCACGGGCCCGACCGGCGTCTGCCCGTTTGGCCTCGGAGAGGCCGCGCGCTGCGGGGCAGATGGGTCGGGTCCGCGCCCTCCGCTCCTGGGGGAGGCCCCCCCCCCCCCCCAGGGCCGTGCGAGGCGAGTGCAAGCGCCAGGGCTTGTGTCCTGCATTTCAGTTTTTGTTTTCCTGTTGACCCGGGTCTGGATTGACCCGGGTCAGAAGATCCCCGAGGGCAGCGAGGCACCGAACGTTTCTTCGCAGCTGCGTGTGAGAGAGTTGCTGTTTGCTGCTGGTCTTGGACTCCAGCCTTGGGCGTTTGTGCACCCTCACGCCTACAGCAAACTCCTGGGCTTGGCGCCGGGCGCACTTGGCAGGCGGCCTTTGCCCAGCAGCTGGTGCGTGGCATCCTGCGCACGCCTGCGCCCCACCCGCGAAACGGCGCGCATGTCTCGGGCCGGACGAAAGGGGGGGGACAGGAGTTGGGGGGCACCGAATGAACGCAGCTAGTTTCGGCCTTGTCGCCGGGCACATTCCACGATGCATGGGCGCCTCCCGGCGCCAGGAGGCGCCAGGAAAACCAGCTAATTACGTGAGTTGATTCTCTACCTTGCCCTTTGCGATCCTACCCTTTCGTCCCCCCAGAGTGTCTGCGTGTGCGTGCGCGTGTGCGTGCGCGTGCGCATGCGCGTGCGCGTGCGTGTGCGTGTGCGTGTGCTTCGTGAGCGTGTGCTTTGTGGACCTGAGTGTGTGTGTGTGTGTGTGTGTGTGTGTGTTCGTGTGTGTGTGTGTGTGTGCGTCGTGTGCGCGTGTGTGTGTGTGTGTGTGTGTGTGTTCATGCGTGTGTGTGTGTGTGTGTGCGTGTGCGTGCGTGTGTGTGTGTGTGTGTGTGTGTGCGTGTGTGTATGCGTGTGCGTGTGCGTGTGTGTATGCGTATGCGTATGCGTATGCGTATGCGTATGCGTGTGCGTGTGCGTGTGCGTGTGCGTGTGCGTGTGTGTGTGTGTGTGTGTGCGTTTCATCGCCAGTTCAGTCACTCTGTCTAGCCACCGACGAAAAATAGTGTGCGTGCGTGCGTGCATGCGTGGATGTGGATATTCGCCTGCCCCCGTCGGCGGGCAGATATCCACATCCGCCGCTCCCCGATTCCTCGGGACACGACCCAGCGGCAGTGGTTGATGATGCGGATGATGCTGATGAGGATGATGACGATGATGACGATTACGATGACGATGACGATGATGATGATGATGATGACGATGATGATGATGATGATGATGATGATGATGATGATGATGATGATGATGATGGTGATGGTGATGGTGATGATGACGATGACGATGACGATGACGATGACGATGATGATGCTGATGATGATCATGACGATGACGATGACGATGATGATGAGGATGATGATGGTGATGATGATGTTGGTCATGATTATGATGATGGTCATGTTGTTGATGATGATGTTGTTGATGATGTTGTTGATGATGGTGATGCTGATGTTGATGCTGATGATGGTGGTGGTGGTGATCATGAAGGGGAGGAGGAGGAGGAGGAGGAGGAGGAGGAGGAGGAGGAGGAAGGAGTCAGGCGGCCTCACATCGCTGTACCAGCTGACGATCACTTTGGGAATCCTCGTCGCCACGCTGGTCGACGTGCCGTTGGTGAACATGGAAGCGGGAGGGGGCTGTGGGGCACGAAGGCGTCCCGACCCTCCCCGACCCCTCCCCTTCATCTTCCCTAAGTTTCCTCATCCCTCCCGTTCCCCCTCCCTCTGCCTCTGTCCTCCGTCTTCCTCTCCGGGTCCTCCTCCGCTGCGGCCGTCGCAGACAGTGGGACCCCGCCCAGTCCAGCTCCGAAGGAGAGCCCCTCACCGTGGGCTGGTAATGGTATCCCCCTGAGCGAAACCAATCAACCCTCCTCCTCCTCCTCCTCCTCCTCCCCCTCGTCATTCTCTTCCCCTCCTCCTCCTCCTCCTCCTCCTCCTCCTCCTCCCTCCTCATGTCTTCTTATTCGTCCGTTCTCCTTCTTCTTGTCATGTTCCATCTTCTTGCTTCTCCGCCTCCCCCCCTCCCTACCTTCTCTTTCCCCCTTCTTCACGACGAGCTACTCCTTCTACTATCTGCGTCCTCCTCTCTCATCCTCCCTGTCCCCCTGTCTTCCCTGTCCTCCGTTTCTTCTTCTTCTTCTCCTCCTCCTCCTCCTCCTCCTCCTCCCCTTTCTCCTCCTCCACCCCCTCCGGTTCCTCCTTTTTCTTTTCGTCTCTTTTATTGCTTCTCTCGTGCTCTTTCTCTTTCGCCTCTTTCTCCTCCTCCCCCTCCTCCTCCAGTATTCCTTCGTTCCCTCTGTATCTTCTATCCTCCTCCTCATTTCTCTTCCTCCTCCACCTCCTCCTTGTCCCTGCTCCTCCTCCTCCTCCCTCCTCCTTCTCCTTCCGAGCCTTCTGAGAAGGTCCGCCCCCCCTCCGAGACCCCTGACGTCGTTTTTGTTCCGCAGCGTCGACCTCCAGGGGTCTGGTTCCCTGCCCCGGGACCAGTTTGAAGTCGGGCTTGTCCCTCTACAGGGGGAATGTTCAATTACCCTGGCGACGTACCCAACCCTTGCGCAATGCGGGGCATAAGTACAGCAGGATTGCTACAACGGGGGCGGTGACGTAACATGGACGCGTGTGGTTTTGCGAGCAGCAATCGGGGGGCTCGCAGGCCCCCGATCAAGATATAAGTGCGTCGTAGTGGTTACTAACGCAGCCCCCCACAGGGACGGCGAGGTCTCGCTCAGGTTTCCACGGTGCCTCACTCCGCTGGACCCGCCAGCAGCCCTCGAACGTGACGACAGTGTCGCAGATCGCAGCCCCCCAGGGACGGCGAGGTCTCGCCCAGATCCCCGCGGTGCCTCAGTCCGCAGGACCCGCCAGCAGCCCTCGAAAGTGGCGACAGTGTCGCAGATCGCAGCCCCCCAGGGACGGCGAGGTCTCGCTCAGATACCCGCGGTGCCTCAGTCCGCAGGACCCACCAGCAGCCCTCGAAAGTGGCGACAGTATCGCAGGTCGCAGCCCCCTATGGACGGCGAGGAGGAGGAGGAGGAGGAGGAGGAGGAGGAGGAGGAGGAGGAGGAGGTTGAGGAGGGGGAGGAGGAGGAGGAGGAGGAGGAGGAGGAGGAGGAGGAGGAGGAGGAGGAGGAGGAGGAAGAGAGGAGGAGGATGCGGGGGGAAAGCCCCCCCAACAGCGACTCCCAGAGAGGGAAGTCCCAGCCAGGGTGGCTGAGGGGGGCACACGGGAGACTGCGCCGTTCTAAAACCCTAGGACCCAGTGCCCCCAAACGACACGACACGGCACGACACGACACGACAGAGAAGAGACGGCGACAAAGCAAACGACACGACGGACGACACGATACGACACGGCGGACGACAGGGGAGGACGAGCCGCCAGGCATGACCCTGTCGCACGGCGAGCCAGAGGGGGGAGACTCCAGACTCCAGACCGCGAAGGGACGGCGCACCCAGCGAACCCCATGGGGGAAGGGGACCGCGCTGTTGGCGGCCATCCCCCACAGGAGCGTGGGCTTGTCGCCCCTCGGGCCCAGCGCTTCCCGCCTGCGCCAGGAGGACCCTGGGGTCCCGACCCCTTCCCCTACGGGAGGACACCCTCGGGGCAGGAGGAAAAGGAGGAGGAGGAGGAGGAGGAGAAGGAGGAGGAGGAGGAGGAGGAGCGAAAGGAGGAGGAGGAGGAGGAGGAGGAGGAGGAGGAGAAGCGGAGGAGGAGGAGGAGGAGGAGGAGGAGGATGAGGAGGAGGAGGAGGAGGAGGAGGAGGAGGAGGAGGAAGAGAGTCCCCTCGGGGACGTTTCTTTGTGGGCCTGGGCCCCCGACGTCTTGAGCAGATCGTAACAGCCTTTTCAAGTTTTTGGCCTCTGGAGGCTCATTTCGGGCCCTGGGGCAGTCAACAACAACGGCCCAAACTGCTCCCTGGGATGGAGTGGCGGTCCAGAGGGCCTTCTCACACTTAAAATGGCGTCGGATATCTGGGGAGGGGCCTGGCCAGTGGTCCGCTTAGCCGGAGGAAGCGTGGAGTCGTAGCGTCGTAGCGTCGTCGTCGTCGTCGTCGTCGTCCTCGGCCTCGGCCTCGGCCTCGTCCTCGTCATCGTCGTCGCCGTCGTCGTCGTCGTCGTCCTCGTCCTCGTCCTCGTCCTCGTCCTCGTCCTCGTCCTCGTCCTCGTCCCCGTCCTCATCATCTTCTCGCTCTTGTCTTCCTTCGCCGCCTTTTTCTTGTGCTCCTGATGCTGCTCCTGCTCTTCATCCTCGTGCCAATGTTGGCTTAATGTGCATATGCACGCCAACCCATAGCAGCATTCCCTCAATCAGCTCGCACACAGCACCCTGTCTACACCCACTCACATTTCACCTCCCTCCTGCTGCTGCTCCTCCTCCTCTTCCCATTCCGCACGGAGAAGGGGAGACGGAATAGGAGTGACGAGATGGGGCGAGGGGGGGTTTAACCCCCCCTCGCCCCATCTCGGCTAAGCGGACCACTGGCCGCTTCCTCCGGCTAAGCGGACCACTGGCCAGGCCCCTCCCCAGATATCCGACGCCATTTTAAGAAAGCGAAATCGAAAGCGAACCGCTCGGAAAAAGTTGATAGTTTCGCTTTGAGGTGTCGCGGGGACAGTAGCTCCCGCATCCCTCCTCCCCCCCCCGCCCTTCCTCCGCAGCCACTTCGGCTCGATCCGCTCCGGCCCGGGGCGCTGGGGCGCCTTGGGCGCGTGCGCTGCCCGGCCGCCCCTCCCGCGCCTTCGGATGGCCGCGGCCGCAGTGACGGTCCTTCGGCCGGTGCTGCCCGAGCGGTGCGGCGGCGCCGGCGGAGCGCTGCGGGGAAGGCTGGCCGACCAGAGCGAGCAGAGCGTGCACATCTCCACCGCCGGAGCATGTCCATTTCCCCCGAGATTCGAGGGCATGGTTTTTCCCCATGTGTTTCGTGGGGTTCTGGTTTTCTTCCCACCCGCGTCGCGCCCGCGTCTTCATCACATCTCCCTCCTCCCTCCTCCCTCTCCTCCTCTTCCGTTCTCCCCCCAGGCGTGTCCCTGAGCTCGCCCGCTACGCGCGCCTCTCGTCCAGGGCAAAGCAGGCGTGGCATATTTTCCACACCGCAGGGAGTGCGCAGGGGGTGGGGTCGCTGACTGTGCGTGCCAGGGTCCCAGGGCGTGGCAGGCGTGGTACACTCTCCGCGCCGCAGGGGGTGCGCAGGGGGTGGGGTCGCTGTGCGTGCCAGGGTCCCAGGGCGTGGCAGGCGTGGTACATTCTCCACACCGTAGGGGGTGCGCAGGGGGTGGGGTCGCTATGTATGCCAGGGTCCCAGGGCGCGGCAGTCGTGGTACATTCTCCACACCGCAGGTGGTGCGGTGTGGAGAGGACGAGGGGGCAACGGAGGAGGAAGAGAAGGCATCTGAATTGATCCCGGGGGCCACGTGTGGCAACTATTGCCTGGCAGGTTCTTCACCAGGAATCGGCCCCAAATTGGAGGACGGCGAACAGGATGTGACATGGTATGTGAACGCACGTAGCATAGAATAAGTATGTGGGGTTTCTCGGTAGCGTAATCTCAATCCAGCGGTTTCTCCTGGATTTCGGCCTCCGGGGCTCGTTATCGTGCCCAGGGACCATCAAATATGGATCCAGGGTGAAAAACCATCCCTGGGGAACGAGTCGAGATTTCTGGGGCCGCTGATTGAAAATACCTTGCGACGCACCCAATCATTTGCATGAAGTGACAGTTGCACTTGGCCCAAACTTGCCAGGACAATGACCGTGCAGGCGCCGTTATACGTTGTGCAAGCTACATGGGGTGCGCTCGCGTGGCACGATTCCAAGGCAACAACAGAAGGACGAGGAGGTATGGCCCAGGCTTGAGGAGGACATGGGGGCGGGAACAGAGGGCAGGACAAGGGCGCGCGGCGGGCCGAACCGTCAGCGCGGCAGCAGCAGAGGGAAGGTGGCAGAGGACGACGACGATAGTGACGGGAGGATAGCGAAGAGTGTTGCTTTTGTCGGTGGCGCGTTAAACATGCAGCGCTGCCTGTGCCATGACGCTGCGGCGCTGGACGAAATGATGAAACTTGTTCATGGTCAGTGCAAGAAGCGAGCGAGGCCTAGCTCGCCCGCCAGCTTCCCTGCTTCCTCCCTGCATTTTTCAGTGCGGGAGCGCGCCGCCAGGTCTGCGGGCGGCCCACGACAGCGCCCCGCTGGACCCCAGCAGCCTTCGAAAGTGGCGACAGACTCGCAGATCGCAGCCCCAGGGATGGCGAGGTCTAGTCTGAGTTTGGGTGTTGCCTCGCTCCGTTGAGCCCCCCCAGCAGACCTCGAAGTGGCGACAGTTTCGCAGATCGCAGCTCCCCAGGAATGGCGCTGTCTAGTCTGAACCTGGGTGGTGCCTCATTCCGCTGAATACCCAAGCAGCCTTCGAACATAGCGACAGCTTCGCAGGTCGCAGACCCCCCCAGGGATGGCGCGGTCTAGTCTGGGTCTGGGTGGTGCCTCACTCCGTTGGCCCCCCAAGCAGCCCTCGAAACTGGCGACAGTTTCACAGATCGCAGCCCCCTAGGGATGGCGAGTTCTAATCTGAGC